CCATGGAATTCTCTAGGCCAGAATACTGGAGTGGGTAGCTGATCCCTTCTCCAGGGGATCTTCCCAACCCAGGAAACGAACCGAGGTTCATAATGCAGGTTCCTGCATTACAGGTGGATTCTTTACCAACTGAGCTATCAGGGAAGCCCGATGTTAATGTACGGCAGAGGCCAACACAATATAGTGAGGCAATTATCCTTCAATTCAAAATAAATAAATTTATTTTTTAAAAACTACTACTTGAATTAATTCATTAAAGGTAAGGCCCAATAAAAGTAACTCCCTGAAATTAAGGATCAGTGACAGAAAAATACTAGTTGCTTTAATCAGATCACTTAGAATAAAGAACAAGTGGGAACCCCAGCAAACAGTATGAAGTTACCCCAGGAAATGCCAGCAGTAGAAGACAGGCAGGTGGGTCTGCAAAGAAATGCTCCAAGGTAGAAGAGGAAAAGCAAGGCACTGGCTGACTACACTGACTGCACCCATGGGACCTTCTCAAGGCGGTAACCCACGGGGAGCCTGGATATGAAAGAACTTTCCCCTTAAAATAAGGGACTTGAACTTAAACTGCAGGATTTAGTGAAATTATACTGAACTTGTTAATAATGAAAGTTTGAAATATGCCAAAAATAACTTGCCCAGAAAGGCAGTAAAATCTCTTTACCTAGAGATTTGTGAGAAAAAAGTAGAAAATTACTTTCCTTTAACATCTTAACTGGAGATAGAAAATTTCAGTAATAAAACTCTAAGATGCATTAAGAGTATTAAAAAAATTAAGTCAGCTCTCTTTTTTAATCCTTACATTTATTCACTAAATGAATATTTACCAGCATTGTAGTAGGCACTGGACATACAGCAGCAAACACCAACTTAAAATGCCTGCCCTCGTGGAGGTGACATTCAGTTATCACACTGTGTGTGCCTCCTAACAAGCCTTAAAAGTTAGGTATTTTCTTTTAATTTTTAAGTAAAATGATTTTTAGAAATTTCAAGCATGTGATAACACTGCCAGAAAACAAATAGCACCGAGCATTTGTGCTGATCGAAAGAAGCCCTTAATAAATATTAGAGAAACAAAACTAACAAAACTGTGTGGATGAGGCACTGGGGTGGCAGGAAGACAACTTCACTACATACAGGTTTGCACTTTTTGAATTTTGTGCCATATATTATTCATTCATAGTTTTTGATAAACAATTTTCCAAAAGTTTATTGGCTGGCTGGATGGAATGAATTAAATGAAAATTTTCTTCTCCAAAAACTCAGTATCAAGAAATGTGCTAAGGTAACCTAAAATTTCACATTCAAGTTTTCTGGAGAAAGCAAAGAGAACTAAAGCATACAACTGGTAAGTTCAGACTGAAACTAGCCGAAACTAGACAGAAATTTGAGGATTTCTCAGAAATTCCAAACCAAAACCTAAATATAGTTTAAGATAACTGGCCAAAAGTATCCAACTGAGTGAGCCCAGCCTACACAGTGGAGCTTAAACAGGAGATGGGTTTGAGTCTCTTTCCTTTTCAGTTTCTGGGAAACGAGGCTGAGTATTTGCAATCTGATTCCTAAGTCTCTGAGACAGTAAATTCTGAGATGAAATACTTACCAGTGTGGCTAAAGACTCCTGGTCTACCGTGGATCACACACCTCCTAGACAGAAATATGTTCCTAACATACCTATGCCACTGTTTATCCAACAGTTTTGTCCTCAGCTGATGAAATTTTTAACTCTAAACAGATCCAAAAGAAACTCTTTCAAGCTAATACATCCAAAACCATTGAGGGCTTCTCAAAGACACTGCCAAAGCCATTTATTTAACAAATATTTATTACATTGGAACAAAAGTCCATGAGAAGGTATATAATTTTCATCCTCTGGATGTTATCAGTCATCCACAGACAGTATGACTATACTATTATGCCAGAAGGGACCAATCTACTCACTGTTAGAAAGGAGAAGGTAGGGACTCACCTGATGGGTGAGATCATTCACCTGTGGAACAGGCCAGAGCTTTCAGATCAGAAATTAGAACCATGTAAAGGCAGCTCTAGATAAATGGTCCTCTTGGCCCTCACCTGTATCATCAATGTATGTATCTTGGTGACCAGTTCTCTTCATGAGTTATAAGATGGCACCATCCCCTGGAAACTGGTAGTGATCTGGTAAATAGAGAGTCCATCTAAGAAAGGTACCTTCAAAGACAGACTGGACCAACCCAACACTGCAAAAGTATAATTACTCATATTCCCGGGGTGTGAGCTAGATATAGTGGCAAAAGAAAACTATATAAGGCAGACTGTGTTTATGCTCATTGCTTTTTCTGTGCTTCTTTCTTTTTACTTCTTCAGCATTTTTTTTTTAGGTCTTTACTGAATTTGTTACAATACGGTTTCTATGTTTATTGGTTGTGAGGTATGTGGGATCCTAGCTCCCTGACCAGGGACTGAACCCACATTTCCTGTGTCTCCTGCATGGCAGGTGGATTCTTTACTGGCTGAGAAAAGTCTGAGATTCTAAATTCTGTTAAGTCCATCTTTCTAGATTCTGAAAAAGAGCTGGAATAGAACATCTCTAAGATCTTTTTTAGCGCCCCCCAAATCAACAACTATTTGTTGGCTGATCACGTTTACTTTGTATGTAAAATGTATGCCATTCTCTTACAGTGTGAAAAAACAGAAGTTGTTAAAATTTAACACCTCCCCTATTTGAAGAAATGAATCAGAAGAAGCTTTTTTACCCTAAGCCATAAAATATCCAACATGAGTTTTTAAGACATTAATCAGATAACGTCAGTGCTCTGCCTTAATATCCCCTGAGGTCAATCCCTTATTTCATACCCAATTCCATAAAATGGCCTGTATGACCCATATGATCTGGCCCCTATCTAACCTTCTGATCTCAGTTCCTCAACATCCCTTCTCTCACTGACTAAGCTCTTAGGAATCCTGACCTTGGGTCTAATCTTTAGACAAATCAAGCTTATTTCTACCCAAAGGCTGCTGCACTGGCCATTCCTTCTTCCTCATCTTCCCAAGCTGGCTCTTTCTCATTATTCAGGTGATCAGCGCAAATATCACCACCCTGGAAAGGCCTTCCCTGACACTTTATCTGAAGCAGCACCCTGCCCCAGACACTCTCTAGCCCATTTATTTTTTTCATAGTATTTGTCACTATATAAAGTTATTTGTTTACATGATTCTCATCTGTCTCCTCCCATAAGAAAATAAGTTCCAAGAAGGCAAGAGCTTTTTTCTCTCTTGTTCATGGGGTATTCAAGAGCCAGAGTAGAACCTGGCACAAAATTTGCATTCAGTAAATACCTGCTGAATGAATGAACGGATAACAGAAAAGTTCCATTACTATGCAGAGAGGTTTTAGGTGTTTTTTAGACTTACAGAGATGCTGGTAGAAAGAACGCATATCTTTTTCTTTTCAGAGCATCCATTTTGTTCTCTTTTATGCCACGAACTAGAAAACATTAGCCAGACTGATGCCTGGAAAATGAAAACAGCACTTCTGGCACAGAAATAACTAGTCTGGGCACCTCTGGCTTGAGCCAGATCTCTGACTTTCTAGGGAGCTGGCACCATAGTCAAAATGTTAAACAGCTTTGATGCTGAAAGTGGAATGCTGGTATTCTGACTCTGGAGAAACTAGTCCAAATCATTCTTAGCTCTTCACAAAAGTTTCAACAAATCTCTATCAAAATGAAGTTAGTCATCTTTCAACAGTCTGGAACTATTCTCCTCCAATGTAACTAATATTCATTTTTAATTTCAATTTCTTTTTGACATAATTCTCTTTTCTATTTACTAATGAATCTTGTTTTCAGCCTCCTAACGAGCACAAGCATCATCCTTAGAGTAAAAACAATACTATTAGCCCACTTTGAGTTGTTCTTCTCATGGAAATGAGTGCGCTAAACCACACAGCACACAAATGTGTCCTGGCTGATCAGTATTTGGAATTGGGTCACAGGGCAAAATGTTTTCTCTGCGTAACATCTAAAGTTAAGAATCCTGACCTTGGCTTTCTAAGTAGCACACCCTGCACCCAAGTGCAAATGTATCCTCAGGCTTGTCGGAATATTTCTTCATACTCTCCATGAAATTTAAGGAGTTCTCTGGAGAAAACACTGCAAACTCTGCTCTGTCACCAATGTGACAAAGTGTAGCTATACAAACACTCTGAGTATTCAAGGCAAACCAAATAAAAGCCAGTATTAGTTACAGTTTTCATGAGACAAGTCTCATAAGTGTTTGAAAATTTTAATGGGAAATTATGTTTTTAAATGTCAATTTCATGAAATTACCCCAAAGTCCACAGGAATTAAATCTACTCTCTCAAAGAGGCACCTGAAATAATAGCAAACTATTTTTTTTACCCTGAAATCACATCATCAGGGTAACATCTACCTACATAAAACAAATGGCATGTGCAACCATGAACTGTTCCAAAAGGGTGAATAGTGAACAAGGGGAACTATGTCTTACTCATCTTTGTTCCAACAGTATCTGATGACGATGATGAAAAAGATGGTGATAATACTTACCATGTGCCTACTAGGTGCCAGGCACGTTTGTTCGCAAAGTTTCACATACATTATCTTATTTAATCTTCATAACACCCTAACTGGTGAGCAAAGTATTGATACTATTGTCATCTCATTTTATACATGAAGAAATCCAAGCACAGACAGGTTAAATTAACCAGCTATTAAGTAGCAGAAGACCCAAACCCAGGCAGTCCCATCCAAAGCTCAAGCTCTTCCCACAAAGCAATAAACACGCAAGTGATGTATATTTATTAAAATACATTTTTAAAGTATTTGACCAATGGGTTTTATAGTCATGGATACTTTCTTTTTAATGCATACAAAATATACCTACTCTTTGTTCCCACTCTTCCAGCCAGTGAAGGTATAATTAGGCACAGGCAACCAACTATAAACAACTGACAGTAGAAAATCTTTTTTTTTAATCTTCTAAATATTTCATAGTGTCCTACCAAAAGAAGAGGACCGGAGAATCTCAAACCAAGGCTCCTCCACAAAAGGGAACTCAGAGAAGGTGGGACAAAGACAGCCAGGGTGAGCTGCTGACCAAAGCATGTCACAGACGCACATTCTCTCCTGGTAACTGCTCTGCAGTGGCGCTGTAAGCACTGCAGTGCTGCCAATATTAAGTCTGAGCTCATGAATGCCGTGCTGCAAAAGTCACCAGCAACTGAACAGGAAGAGAGTTCCCATTCTCTACTTGGTTTATTCATCCCAGGGTCCTGATCTAGGAGGCTGGAGAGTTAACAGAATTTGGGAAAGGGCCAGGTTTACCACTTACAGTTGGGCGGAGCACGGTGCTTGATCAATAAATAAAGTTTACTTTAGCCTCTTAGTCTGTGCAATAGGTAGTATGTGTAAGAGAAAGTGACCATAAATATTTCTCTGATGTTCAGAAAACACCTACTACACAACCTCTTTCAACCAACACAAATATCTGAATTACCTGAGTCTGATGGTTACATATGGTTATAGGAAAAACCCAGACCATTCAGGGGCTGAGAGGGAGCAGAGAGAAAAAAAAATCACATACCTCTAAAAGACAAAACAAACAGACAAACAAAAAGATACATTCTGAAAACAGAAGAGGAAAAAAAAAATAGGTGAAAATAGGTGACTCTCTTTGGTTCCAAGTTACCTGACTGCAGAAGTAAGATAAATGCTGCAGTGCCCGGGAGAAAAATCTATCTACCTGAGTAACTGAACAGCAGCTTCTGTAACTGCCAATACCCAGGCACCTTCCTCACCATTATATAACCAAACCCTGGCCTTAATAGACCATCATACTGTATGTCAACAGTTGTTAGACACATCTTGGCGGCAAGCATTTGAGAAACCTTTCCAAAGTGGATTCAGATAAGCAAGAAGCAGGCCAAAATATGTTCATCATTTACCCAGAGCACATGACAACTCCCTGTGAATTAAGCTTCACGCATGTCGTCAGAGTAATTTAAGCAGCGAAAGAGAGGGTGCCTGTAACTAGGAAATTGCACACTGCTACAGAAACACAAATGAGTGCTGGTGTGGTCCCCTCACACATGCAACTCATTGTCCAAGCCATTTCAGCCTCATTCAAGACTTTGAATATTTCCATACATAGGAATTGCATAACTGCCGACCACAAATGATCAAAGATAAAAACCAACATAAACAGTGACACCCGTTTATAAACAAGCTGATGTTTAAAATGCTGCAGTCCTAAAGGATACCAACAACTTAGAGAAAAACTTAGACACATACACACACTGGAAAATTAGAAAGCGGGCAGACCAGCCATAATTAGCCACTGGCTTTGCTGACTACTGAAGATAGAAATGTCTCTATTATGTATAAAGCCAAGAATCAACTGTTTGCAATTACATTTACAAAAACATTGAACCCTCTGTCCCAGATTTTTTTAATCATTATTTTGGTGTATCCAAGGGCTGGGCGATACAGAATTCTTTAAATCATAGATACCATAAACCAGGCAGCCAATTAAGTTCACAGAGTCCATCCCCCAGAGGTCAGAGCAAAATAATCACAGAAGCCCAAGTGATTACTTAGGTGGGAAGGGGAGGGTGTGGAAAAGGAAATACCAAAACAAGGAACAAGGCTGGAACAATTAGAGTTGTTTGTAAACATAAATTTGTCTTGGCTAACTGTAAACACAATAGGAAACACTCAGAGGGGCAGGGATGCACCAGAGTCTTGGTTCAGTTTACTCCCTGTCAGGGTCTGAGGGTAGCATCAGGAAACCTTGGGCTCTGGTATCTCATTCAGCTCAGACCTGCAGACTTGAGGCCCTCTGATAAAAACTGAAAAAAAAAAAAAAAAAAAAGGCTGAAGGGGCCCCCTCAGAGGAAGTGAAACTGACCAATCAATTTTCCACAGCCACCCACCCCACAACCCTGGTAAGAAGGGCCCTTTAGAGTCTGACAGAAAGGAGGGAAAAAGGAACTTCAGGTCATAAGTGAGAGGGAGAGGAGGCAGAGATAAGTCACTGCCTTCTGAAAACAAGTGATTGCCATACAAGCGAAAACAAGGCAGGAGGCAAGACCCAAAGAGGAGGCTGAGGAGGTGAGGGGACTTGATGTGGCTTTGGTAGGAAGCAGCAGCAGCTGTAAAGGTTCTTCATCGAGCTGAGGGAAACACAAACTGCAGTTTTAAATATAATGAATGACTTCACCCAAAGTGTTCATTCAAGTGAGAGATGGAGCAAAGAAAGAAATCTGAAGTATAAACGGGTTCTGGGAGTCCTATCAAAACCAAGCAGCTCCTCCTGGTGTCTTCGATGCCAAGACTCCCAATGAAGAAGGCCACAGGAAAGAACTAACTGTATTTCCTCCAAAATGAATTTTGTAGGTAAAATTTTAAACGTGTAGGGACATGGCTTCCTAATTGACCTTGCCAATTTCACCACCACTGCTCCACAAATCCCTTGGGAACCAAAGGGCCCAATGAGTGTGGGGATTCTTCACACACCTCCCCAGTCACCAGGCGCCCCCTCACCACTGACAGCCCACCCTGGGTTCTATAAACCGTACAGTTCTGGACCCTCCAACAACTAAATATAACCAGCAATATAGCTCTCCCGAATTGTTTAACCCCTGATTACCTAGGGCCACCACAAAGCAGGGGTACCGCTGGGTCTCTGTTCCCTGACCCTTTTCCTGTGGAAAAACAAACTAATTTTTTTCCTCATTTCCCCATTTTTTTCATCGCCTCCTCCAATAATCTTGTCTGTCCTCAGTCTCTCATTCCCACCATCTAGCCGTCTTGGGCGACCAAATGCTGACTGATGCCTCTGTCATAAGGTACCAGGTCCCTCATACCTCCCAGTACCTTGTACCCCCCTCAAGACCCCAGCCATCCTTCTTCCCCTCAAAAGCCCACCTCTGTCAGTTTCACCCTTGTTTCCCCCTATCCTCCTTGTCCACATTTCCTATTCCCCTGCCCTCATTCCCGCAGGATTTCCTAATTTCTGGTTTCAGAAGCTTCTCAGCTTACTGTCTCCTGGCGAGTTCCAAACCTCTTCTTCCTCATCAACCCTGCTACGACCCTCCGCACTGCCCGTGGAGCCCCCTGCCCATCCGCGGCTCTCTAGTTCCCCAGGTCCCGGCGCTCAGTGGCCGCTCTGCGCCCCCTCTGCTGTGCAGGCACCCTCTCCCGGGTCCCCCGGTGCCCGCCGCCTCCTGCTCTCCCTCTCCTCACTTCTGCCCGATAACCCCCTACCCGCTTCCCCGGTCCCCAACGCACTCCAGAGCCCCGCTCGCGGCGCCGACCCCTCCACCTCGGTGTCGCGGGGCTCCCCTTCCCCCGCCACACTCGGACGGTCCCGAGCCGCGCAGCCCCGCCGCCGCCCGGTCCCGCCGCGCCACTACCTTGGCCTTAGTGACGAGGTGCGTGGCCCGCTTGACCACCGCGAAGTTGCCCTTGCCGATGGTGCGGTCGATCTCGTAGTAGCCGATGCGAGCAGGCACTGGCCCGCGGGAGGCCGGGGCTGGGGGATCGTCACTCCAGGAGGCGGAGCGCCCGCGCCGCCGGGGCCGGGAGCCATGGCAACCTGTCGTCACGTGCCGACGCGCGTCACTGCCCGGAGCCATGGCAACCATGACCTCACCCGCTCGCTCGACCTTCCCGCGTGGGCCCGGTTCCTCAGGCGCCGGCTCCTGGGTGCCCCCCTCCGGGGAGGAGACAGTGGGTACCGCAAGTGTGCCAGCCAGTTCCAAGCCATCACAGCGTTGCCCAAGTCAGGGGGTGCTTGTGCCTGACCCAAAACCTGCCCTCGATCCCCCCAGGAACTGCTAATGTCACCCCCTACTGTGACCTCTGTCCCAATTCGGCAGTCACCCAGCCTCCTTTAAAGCAAAGTATTTCCTCATCATCAAAAATATTAGCACTGTCCCACTTTAGCCCTTGAGGCCCCAAAGGCAGGAACAACTACATTACTGAAGCATCTGTAACCAAGTCGGTAGCGAGGCAGGGGAATTTTTCAGTAAAATTCCTTCCTCTTACAACCTGGTACAACCAATCTAGTTGTCACCGAATGTAGAAGAATAGGGAAACTAGGATTTGCGTGTTCAAGGGCGGAGAAACCAACCCAAACACGCATTTCAGTCATTGGGTGGGTGAGAGCCAAGCAGGGACGTCATTTTCCTTCCTCCCACCCCTTCTCTGAACAATCCTATAGCTAGATGATTGTCAAAGTGCCTGCATCCTATTTCTGTCACTTGTATAACCCTGGTGAAGCAATGTGCGCATTGTCCAGTGAGTCACTTCATGGTTAAGGACTATCAGTCTGTTGGGCAAAATAAATAAGTAAATAATAAAATAAACATTTCACCCCTACCAGCGATTCTCCAAGGACATTAAAGGTGATCAAATCAAATTCCAACAATAAATCTCATATCCCTCTTCTCTTCTCTGTTATCTGCCTTTCTGCACCCTCCAGAGCCCTCACCAGCTCCCAGGTTTCCCCCTCCTTTCTCTCCTCCCTCTATTAAGTAGATTTGCTTTAACAGCTTCAGGTAAGGCTGGGGAGGGGTAGGCTACTTGGCTATCAATAACAAGATGTTCTGGGCAGGCAAGGGCTTCCCCAATGGCTCAGGGGTAAAGAATCTGCCTGCAATGCAGGAGACTTGGGAGATTCGGGTTCGATCCCTGGATAGGGAAGATCCTCTGGAGAAGGAAATGGCAACCTATTTCAGTACTCTTGCCTGGGAAATCCTATAGACAGAGGAGCTTGGCAGGCTACATCCAAAGGATCACAAATAGTCGGACACAACCGAGCTTGCACACATACTGGGGTGGCAAGTGGGGAGAAGGGAAGGCCATGAACAGGCCAATGTTGAAATGTATTCCACCTTCCAATCCTGATTCCTCTTTATCTATTTCTCTCTCAATGGCAGAACTGTGTTGTCAGGTCACTTCATGTACAATACTAAAAACTGACACCCAATGCACTGTGAATGTGTGAGAAGCAGAGCACCTATTTATTCTCTCTGACCAAAAGATATTTATTAGCTCTCTGATTCCTCATCTGACTGTGAGTAATCCCTGGGACTAGGACAGAACAGGGAGGTCATTCCACGATTGCCTTGAATCAATCCCCTGGTGGCTGTTCCAAATTGCCAACACAATTAACACTAATTGGCTTCTTTACTAGCAAATGAGGATAAGGATGAAGTGGTCCTCAGCTTCTGGCACTGGTTAAGCCCTTTCATTGGTTGAGCTCATTCAATCCCAGATAAATGATGGAGTGCAGCCAGCCTCTTTTACCACTTCGACCCTACTCACCTGACTCTAACAGGAACTGTACATTAACGTTGGTGCCGGGCCCGAGGGTCCTAGTTTTACCATCTTCCTAAGGAAAGGAGGAGGAGGAGGGTCTCAACAGGAAACTTATGAGAAATAAAGCAAGGGGAAAAAAATCTTTTGCTCTGAGGGCTGCAGGAGCAGCACTGAATCCATCAACTTTGCAGCCTCTCCTTTACTTGTAGAGATCATTTGAACATCAAGTACAGCAACTTTTGCTGCTCCCTGGAGGGTGTCAAAAACAAAGAAGCCTCTGGGGAGAAACTAGAAAATGGAGCATTGGTCTAACTCCCCAGGAAAAGAGGCAGATAACTCTTGTCCCTAATAATGGCCAGACTGTGTACACTGTGTGTTAAGTGATTTATCCTCTTTGCCTGTATGGATAGAAGCCAGTAACTGTGCCCTATTGAGACTTGGACAAAGACTTGCTGGAGATTTCCCTGAAGAGTCTTTGGTGAGAAGAATATAGAAAATTAGGGAGGGGATTGATCAACGAAGATCATCAGGGAAAAAGGAAAACTGTTTAAATGTATGCATTTAATAATTATTTATTGAATACCAAGACTGAGTTAAGTCTGGGGAGGAACTCAGAGTCAGTGTGTGGTTCAGTTGCTCAGTCGTGTCCAACTCTTTGCAACCCCATGAACTATATATAGCCCACCAGTCTCCTCTGTCAGTGGAATTCTCTGCGAAAGAATACTGGAACAAGTTGCCATTTCCTCCTCCAGGGGTTCTTCCCAACCCAGAAATCAAACCCACACCTTTTGTGTCTCTTGCATTGGCAGGCGGATTCTTTACCACTAGCACCATCTGGAAAGTCCACTCACAGTCAATAACAATTTGCCAGGCACTATACTAAGCAGTTTTACTTAAATGAACTTATTCCTCAACAACCCTGTGAGACAGGATATATTATTATTCCCATTTTGCAGATAAGGAAAATGAGGCACAGAAGGATTAAGGGAGTTGACCACAGTCATCAAGCTAGAAAGTGAGTCCCAGGATTAGGATACAAACCCAGGCAACCTACCTCTGAAACAGAGATCCTCCCCCACAGGATTATAACCACTAGCTATAGGAAAGTAGCTAGTAGGAAAACGTAGTAGCTTGTAGGAAAAGCAGTTTCCTCCCCAAACTCAGTTTAGACCCATGGGAGAAGAAGATTTGAGAGTTCTGGAGCAAAGGACAGAGTAGGGACCAGATCATATCAATAAAGAATGACAGGGACTTCCCTGGTGGTCCAGTGGCTAAGGCTCCATGCTCCCAATGCATAGGGCCTGGGTTTGATCCCTGGTCAAGGAACTAGATCCCACATGCCATAGCTAAGACCTGGCACTGCCAAATAAATAAATAAAAATATTTTTTAAAAATAGAACAGATTTTTTTTAAAAAAATAGCAGATTGCAAAACTGATTGACATGCTGCTTCACTTGCAAGTAGATCCATGAAGAGATTCCCTGCTTATTGTACCAGTGTTTTGCTGCCCTAGAAAATA